GGAGAGTGTCAGGGGTAGGGAGTAGGAACTTAGTTCCTCTTGCCGGGGTGGGCCGAGTCCCAGACCGTGATAGGTCTGAGTATATTTAGGAGGGGAGTAGGGCAGTTAGGATAGCAGGGTTGGTAGGTTAAGTAGTTTAGTGGTTACCTAAGGGACGGAACAGCTATAGGAGACAGCAGAGGCGTTGATGTGGAAAAGACTCAGTTTTGTTGGTAAAGGAAGTTAACAGGATTCGTTCTAAGCTAAACCGGCTGATGCTGCTGGGATAACTCGGGGTGGAATTGTGAGGTCCCCGGCCTCGAAGATCTCTTTTTGGTAATATGAATGGATTGGATGTTGGAAAAAAAAAAAAAAAAAAAAAGGGAAAGTTGCACCCTAAAATTAAATTCGTTCGACAAGGTATCCCGTATCTTCTAATCCTAGGCAATGTATGTACCTTGTTTTCGGGTTAAGACAGCAGGATAGAGAGGCTGTGTTAGGGTATCAATACTTGGAGAGATGGCACACTTCACGGTCTTCCAGGTAATGACCTGCTGTGTGTGGCATAGCCTCGAACAATTGTTGGCAGTACAACTGAGTTTATCACTACTCTACTTCAATTCGCGCAGTAGCGGTCGTAGAGTGGTAGCATGGCTGCGTCCGTGTACCAGGACTTCAAGATAGCGAGCTTCACGTGCGGCCTTCCGGGTTATGACCGGTTTAGCGTGGCATAAACTCGAACAATTGCTGCGAGTATGAACACATTTATCTGTTCTACTTCAAATCGCGTAGTAACTGCCGTGTAGAGGTCACACTACGATAGAGTGGCTGCGTCAGCATATCAGGACTTCGGGATGGCGTGCTTCATGTGCGGTCGTCCACGTTATGACCTGTGTTGTGTGGCACGAACTAGAACAGTTGTTTAGAGTCATGAAGTGAGTTCATCTCATCTCTATTCTACAAGTCCATCGCATGAGCAGTTTTGCCGGTGAGATAAGAATGTTGCCCAACGAGAAATGGAATGCACCCACGGACTGAACGATCGAGTGAGAGATTAAATGCGAGGATTCAAATTTTGGACCTCCACTGGGTTTCACACTTCCGTGATTTAAAAAACAAAACAAAACAATGCTGCTTTGTTTCTGACATAGCGATACACATCTCAAAACCAACCGCACATTGACGTCAACCACCAGGTCGAGAAGCTTTCCCAGGAGATGTGTTTTATCTACATTCTCGTTTATTAGAAAGAGCTGCCAAAATGTCAGACCAAGCTGAGTAGGCCTTACTATGGGACGTCTCACCATTCTTTTGACATTTTCAGATGAGAGTCCTGACACTTGCATGCATAGGTGTCCACAAACCAATGGAAGGAAGCGTTGCCCGAACTCTCGTCCTCGACCACTGATCTCACAAGAATGCCATAGCGAAACCCCCACGAGACCAAGTGGGCTTGGCACATGTAGACATAGTAGTACTACTGGCAAACCCCATTGTCGGGCCACGACTGGCTGGGACAGAAATGGGGTGGAAAGAAAGGCACACACACTGGGACCAGGCTTCGGACACGTAGAGGCGCCCGCCGCTGGTAAATCTTTAGTTATCTCAGTAGATAGTACTACTACCGGCACACCCAGTTGTCAGGCCACAACCCGGTGGGACAGAAGTGGGGTGGAAAATAACCGCCGTCAAACAGCGCGGCCAGAAAGGCTTGAAAAAAGATGCCCAGGGACAAGAATCCTACGTACCATATCACACATGCTCGAACATATCCGTTCAGGCTAAACCACGTTAAACCAGGTTAAACCAGGTTAAACCTGGTTTAAGCAGGTTAAACCACCAGTACGTTTCCCTGCTAGAGCGAAATGCCTCGTTTTCAGGTTAAACCACCAGTACGTTTCCCTGCTAGAACGAAGTGCATGCTCTGCCGCAATGCTCTGAAAGTACGAGGGCGCCGTTTCATGGCACATGCATCCAGGCAAAACAAAAAAAACGAGCCTGGACGTCCACCGAAACGGCACGTCGGTACTTCCAGAGAGCCACAGTTGCATGCACGCCACAACTTCAATTTTCTAGCGGGGAAACATACTGGAAGTTTGAAACACTAGAGTACCTCCGTGCCTGTTTTTGCCACGCCTGAATTTCACTGCGCTCCAAATTTTGCTGAGCCTGGGTCCCACTCTATTTTCTTTTCTCGTGCTCTCACCTGAAAAAAAAAAAAAAAAAAGTCACGGCCTCCTAAACTCACAAAAGAAGAGAAAAGAGAAAGGAAGCAAAACTTCGGCAGTGAAATACAGTTGTATACATTCTTGAGGAAGTGGTAGCATGAGTGTTCCCTCAGTGAGAGCGTCTCAGCCTCGTGGCCAGGTCGTCAGATTCAAGAAAGACAAAGAAGGGGGAAAAGAAGGAAACACAGAGTCGTCAGCCGTGAAATTGGCTTGCACACACATTGTGATCATGGTCACAATCATCTTAAGGAAACACAGCTTGAGCAGATCGCAGATTACGCCCTGCCTTGCTGGCATTGGACTCGTAAGAATAAAAAAAAAAAAAAAAAAAAAAAAAAAACAGCAGCATCCAGAATCTGACCCTTTTTTACCTGTAAGATTCATTTTGTGGACTACTGTGAGCACGGCATCCTAGACTACCCTGCCCCACATCATTGCAGTAGAGAAAGTTTAGTTTCTTCTTTTCTTTTTTTTTTTTCTTTTCCCCTTTCATGACCAGGCAATATAAAACTTGAACTTTATTGTGTTTACTAGTGCGCCTCTGGGCCCTCCGAACCCTTCGATGACATCAGGAAAACGTAAAAAAAAACACGACCCGTTTTGACGTTTTCGGATTTCCCGATTTCCCCAACACTGGTGGAGGTACTAGTGGTTTAAGCCTTAAGGCGGTATCTGATCATGTTCAGGGCAACAACCAGGGATTGATTCTCATTCCCAACTTTCCTACAGGCCATTCAAGACAGACGAGGTTTCTTCCTCCCCCGAGCATGCAGCAGGCCTCCTGTGTGCCCGATTTGGATTCAACTCGAGCGAGTCAAATTGCTAGAGTACAAGGAAACGCCGCTGCGTTCGGAAAAATGAGCAGAGCGCAACTTCCATTGAGAAAAGAAACTCCTCGTCAAAGCGAGATGTACTTTTACTTCATACAGGCGCTGCATGGCTGTCGACCTCCTGCTGTTGGGTTGATTCCTGTAACAAGTGCAACCCTCGTTTTGTGCTGCTAAGACATCGCAACAGTGTTCTCAAACATGCAGCAGGCCACAAAGGTAGGACTCCAAGGTGGCGAAGTTTCCGACTCATCCCGGACATACTGGAGGTAGACCCCGAAGGTGGAAAAGTTTCCGACTCATCCCGGACATGGACGTGGCCCCAATTTTTTGTTTTCCTTACTCTTCAATGTGACCCGACAGGCCATGGTGGCGATAGTACAACATCCGCCGCCATACCACCACACCCAAAGCACATAGCACAACACAGCCCACATAGTGCAACACAACACACAGTTTACCACATGCAGGCCACATAATATCGCGATCGGCCCACAAAGTGCTGCACACACAACCTGCATAGTACTGCACCAAGCCAACATAGTACTGCACGCAACCCACACGGTGCAACACCCAGCCTGCACAGTATCAAACGAAGCCCGCGTAGTACCACACACTCAATCCACAACTGCACTCAGCCCACAGAGCACTGCACGCAGCGCGAATAGTGCTTCCCTCAGCATGCATAATGCCACACCCAGTCCACAAAGAACTCCACCAGGCGCACATAGAACTCCACCAGGCCCACATAGCATCCAGCCAAGACAATACGACATGAACACCGCATGGTACTGCACCGAGCGCCTAATCCACATAACACTGCACGATGCCCATTGTTCTGCCTCCAGCCCACAGTCCACCCCGCCTGGCTCACGGCCTGCCACCCCTACAGCCCACGGCACACAGCTCGCACCTAACCACAAATCGTCCACAGCCCACAACCTGTCTCTTATACACATCTAGATGTGTATAAGAGACAGGTTCTAGCCTCTTGACATTACTCACTTGACTGGGAACCAGAATAGTTTCCAACTGCAAATGTGCACTCTATGAGCCATTCACACTGAATCACACACCGAATAACGCACCAAATTCACGTGCCAAGGAAAGGAGTTGCATGAGCACACACACACACACACACACATCTGCAACAGAAGAATTCTCCGGATGTTCCAGTAAAAGAACCGATATACACCTGATGGATGAGCCTCCAAACGAGAAGAGAGACCAGCTCCAGGAAGGTTGTTGCAAATCTGTGTTACGACGCCGCGCTAGCTTGAAAGTGGGACGCACTAACAGTTCTCATCATCCTACTGACAAGTTCTTGCAATCTACCTCAACCATGCTGACAAGTTCATAAAACACCCCCATTCACAGAACCCCTGATGGCAAAGACCTTTGCTAGTGTCAATCAAATGCGCAAGTGCATGGAAACTTCTCTCGAATCTACATTTGCGGCTGTTAAGATATTTCTGCACAAAATTCTTGACGCTGTCATATTGTGAGAGCGCCGACACTTCCTGCATATACAGTCTCTCACGAACGTTTGTGCCAGCCATTCTTACAGATACTGGCCTTTGTGAATCTGATGTAACAACATGCTGACTTTACGATCCAGAGGAACCACCTTGACTACCATGTACTCTAAACTCTTAACTATACTTATCCGACTAATCTGTCAAACTGATCTACGTGTACTGCCAACCGCCAGCGAACCTGCCATATCCTCCTTTAAGGCTTTAAGGACTTCATGCCACCTCTGGCAAGTCGTAGTGTCAGAGATATGGTTAGTGTCTGCCTTTCCTTCGGAAACGGTGTTGGAGGTGGTTGGCAAGGGAGTCGATGAGGAAGAAGAGAAAGGACTGGATAGGAGCCGGCTAGTTTAGTAGCTCGTCAAAACTGGCGCCTGAGCATCTGCTTTTATCGACATCAACATACGCAACAATCGTGCTGCAACTTCAAACCCGCTGCGTGGCATCTTCAGACCAGCTCAGTTCACTATGCCTGGACAGACAAGGGATCAAACAGCTGCCAGACACATTTTGTATCGCCTCAGATGCACGGGCAGACATGCTCCTCGCCTCTGTTGACAGATTTCCTAATCCGAGTGGCAATCGTTGGTGGCCTCCTATCACCAATGGAAGGAAACTAGTGTGGTATGATAGTCCATGGCGCGTTGCACATTCTGTACGACAACGAAGGAAATATGAATGCGATCCGCTGACAATCAGCCAGAATTCTGCCCATCTTACAAATAGATCTCCTTGAAGGTATGTGGGGACGCTCGGTCGCATCCACCAGCAATCTTTCTCCAGAAGAAGCCACCAAGTTGGTTTGCTTACGGCATGTGTCTCGCTCGCACAAAGACACTTGAGAGACGCTTCAGCAAAATACCAACCACTTCCCTTAGGACTGCCACCAAGCTGTTTATTTGCTTACAGCACGTGTCTCGCTCGCAAAAAGACACTTCGGCAAAATACCAACCGCTTCTCTCAGGACCGCCAACTGCACACTCGTCTCTGCAGGAGCTTCACAAGGATGTCATTCTCCCGGCTCCTGGGCTTTTTTCCAGTCTTTGTGCAGCTGTCTGATGGTTGAATGCAGAACCCAGTGCATAAAGAACAACATGGCTCACATGCACACACACTTCCCGCCGCATAGTACCCCACCCACATGGTTTGTCCGACAAGCACACCAGACGCAACGAGTATCGAAGGAACCATCCCCAGTAGCACTTCTGAATTGACAGCACATCAGCCTCAGAAGACTACCACTGGTAGACTTCTCCCAACTTAACACCCACTGGCCTTGAAACATCACCACTAGCAGACTTCTCCCACGTTGACAACCAACCGGCTAGCTGATGCTGCACCTTCAGATGCTAGGCTATGATAGGGAAGAATTCCAAGATGAGAACAAGAGAGAGAAAGTACAGCGAACTGCCCCACGTTTATCTTTCAGAGACCTCGAACACTGCCACCACTTCGTCCCTCTTGCCCCTTTGACAACCTAAAAGCCCATCTGTCGAATCTACCCCTTCCTTACCGTCACCCTGCAGATATGTCTAGCACAGCCGGCCTAGGTCCACCCCCTCGCCACTTTAGATGCACTCCATGACCTGCAGCCTTGATCATGATTCCCCTGAAGCAGAGTAGTGCTCCGACTGGTTTACGGAGTAAGAGCATTTCTATTCGGGCCTGGGCCGGTAGCAAGAGTGGCAGGACACTCTGAAAAAGCGCAGTCACAGGCTCGCGAGCCTTGGAAGGTAAGCTTCATCAACTTAGGCTTGTGTGAACTGGTGGTTTAGATTCTTTAGAGTCTAGACCCATAATAATGCAAAAGACTTATTCTGCAATTCAACACGGTGGCCATGTCGACCATGCTACCCGCGGAGGAGACGGGCCAGTGCCTCGTGAACCAAGAAAGCGACCAAACACGCCTGCTACTAGCTACCATAGCATGATGAGAGCCCAAGTTACAGCAGCTCCAGATGAAAGTAGAATAAGAGTATTTAGAAAGGGGATTCCCCAAGGATAAGCATATCCATTCTTGGGGAATACTCTCGCTAGCACAATCTTAAGAATTTCTGACTGTAATTATGGCCCTACTTTGCTGAATCTGACCACAATTACATCAAGAAACAAGTAAAAAAGTCCCAGTTTGAGTATGCCCTCCTTCCCCCCCCCTCCTCTCCTCCACGCCCAAGTCAAATCTCCACACACCGGAACAAAACTCCACTTGAGCCCCGGATGAATCAATCGATTCATACACACTTAGGAGGCCGAGCAGACTGTCGCATACCACATCCTTTACCGTACGCAAGTGACCTGTGAACTCTTTCCTGACCAACCCCTTACACATGCAGCCTAACACTATTGCTGCGGTGCTGCTCCCCCATGATCATCAACATTAGATAGACAAGTCTCCTCTCTTCTCTATTCTTTCTTCTCTCTTCTCTCTTCTCCCTGACTAACAGATTTATTGTGTTCTCATACTCTCGTACCTCCTATAAACGAATGCACACACAACTTTCAACTACTTTCCCCTTCTTGGCGATTCCTGGATAATTCACTGAATGTTCTTGGTGTTTCAGCCGCGAGACAAATCCTCGTGGTCATCGACTACAGTTCTACAAGAATCTCTAAATCGTTCTCAACATGCAGCTCGGATACAAAAACAGCTCATAAAACGCTGAAACATGCGGACCTCGCGTCCAGTAAAACATAATTGCATATGCGGACACTTTCACGAGTGACTTTCGACGGGTAAGACTTCCTACGAAGTGAATCGATCGTCCACCAAGGATGCTCTCAACAAAGGTAGAGTGAAGGGGCCGCTAGGGACGGACTGCTTTTATTTGTAATAAAGCTGAAGCTAAGCCCGACGACAGCAACGGTGCAGAAGATATTATCTGCAAAGCACCCAGACCATCCGTTCTGTTGCCCCCCTCCCTCTCTTACACACACACATCTATTCAAATTTTCAGGCAACCTTCGCTAGTGAAGACGTCAGATGACGACTCCAAAGAACAAGAAATGATAATCATGTCAGATGATGGATGACTCCAAAGAACAAGAAATGATAATCAGCTCACAGCACCTTACCAATCAATAAGCATCAAATTGTGAATTGCAGAAGCTGATCATCCGTAACTTCCATTCTGCAAAGGCCTCAGTTTCTCAATGACAGTCTTCAGAACACTTCTCAGTTCCCTTGTATCGGAGTTCTGCAAAACATAATTGCGCACATGCAAGACACACACCAATGATACACACAAAAGACGGTTAGCATGCAGCACATGACAAACACATACAACGATTCCCATAGGGAGAGAAAAAAGCAAACCAACATTGCGATAGCTGGATTCCAGTGCCCGACTCCCTCACACTCCTGTATACGCGACATTACAAACTCCTGTATACACGACATTACAAACCGTCTTTTGCAGTCTCGTCACTCGTGCATACAGGAGGATCAGGAGGTCGGACACTGGAGAAAAAAGCAAACGAACATCCCATAAAGCAAAAGCCAACCAACTCCCGATATCTGGACTCCATCGCTGTGTCTCATGCAGATTGAAGCTCTGGAATCTGCATGAGACACAATGATGGACTGGGCTGATGCAGGCGACGACGAGCCCGAACATTTGACCCCCCGCAAATACCACTGACCTCCGTGCATAACCAAACATGTTGAATGTTAAACCACCACCAGTACCTTTCCCGTATATTGGGGTCGGGCCCCCGCTACGACTTCTGGAGGCCCGCGTTTCGCCGCACGCTGCCGATGAAATTTATCAATGGCCGCCCGGCGGCGGCGATGAGGGGCCTGGGTAACCCACCGCGTATTTGTTTTTTTCAAGCGGGGAAAGGTACTGGTGGTTTAGGCGGCGGCAGTTCAACAAGGCAATGCGAAGCTCTATCATTTCACACGTGTTGAAACGCCATATGGAATAATTTCAGCAGCACGCACTAGCGGTATTGAAAAGCCATATGGACTAGAAAGTATTTTTTCCTTGTTGAAACGCCATATGGACAAAATTTCAGCAGCACGCACTAGCGTTGTTGAAAAGTCGGGATGGGACAAAATTTCAGCAGCACGCACTAGCGTTGTTGAAAAGTCGGGATGGACTAAGTTCCAGCAGCACGCAGCACGTGTTTCTTCCTTGTTCAGCACACCGTTATCGTGTAATATATATGTTTGCAGGTTTCATGCTCCTCTTTTTTACCCCGGCTAAGTTCGATGCATGGGAGAGTTCTGGAAGACAGAGATCCAGATTCTGGTCTGGGTATTTGAAGCACAGCATCAATCTGGACTTCAGTGTCTAGATCCGCAGTATGCATCCCAGTCCGGATGGGTGGGCATTGCACAAAGGCCACAAAAAACTTTTGGCCCACCACGGCATTCTTTCACACCCTGGACATCCAGTGGCTAGACAAGGCCAGACAAAGGCTTTTGCTTTTTAGTGAACTTTCTTGTTTTTTTAACTTCTTTTTTCGGTTTTCTACCAATTTCACGGCGGGGTGACTGGCAGCTGCCAGCAAGGTGAAGAGGGAACAGCAGAGCAGCAAGACAGCACACCAGGGAGTCGTGCGGCTGCGAGCAGGGTGATGGGCAATCTCTCTCTCTCTCTCTCTTTCTCTCTCTCTCTGTGTGTCTGATGAATCCATGTCCTTTGCAGTTGACTTGGCAGATAACCCAACAAGCTTTTGTTTTCCCTTTTTGTTTTCTGAATCGTGAATTTCATTACCATTTGAGCTTGGCAGATGAATGTGGCAATTTTTGTTTTCCCCCTTTCGCTTCAACTTCATTGTCATTTCAACTGGGCAGAAACACTTCCCTTTCTTTATCTGTATTTTGTTCCTGGAACTTCATGGTCGTCCATTGATCCATCCATCACCTGCCATCCATCCACCCATTGCATTACTTCCTTCCTTCCTTCCTTCCTTCCTTCCACCCATCCATCCTTCTATCCATTGCCTTTCATCCATTCTCCATCAATCGCCATCCAGGGCACCAGCACACAAACCTTCTCAAACTTCGCAGAGTTGGAACTCTAGAGCATGCTGTTGTTCGCTGAATTGACTGAACTTCTGATTCTGCAGAACATCGAGTTCTTTGCTGGGTTCGGTTGTTAACAAACTACGTTTTTCGACTTCCCAACCTCCCGAGCATCGCTTGGGAATGTCGCAAGCATCCCGCGGGCCTTACCGATATCCTGGACCCACCCCGTCATCCAAACATGGCCAGATCTCTGGGCGACCAGATCAAGCCGGCTAGCCCAACATCCGGCATTCGGATCTGGTGCAGGGCCTTGCCCGATGTTGCGACAGTTTGAATTTTCATCCTCTCAAAAGGCACCTGAAGCTGGGAGTGCTTAGATTCGCTTACTCACCTGCAGGCGCTGACAGTACTCGTCGGCCATGTTGTCCGGACAATGGACAGTCGGAAGTGCAACACTGCGCATATGGACGAGAAACTCGTCACCGCACTTCAGGTAGACAGTCTTCAGTGCGACGGCAATTTCCCCAAGCAATGACACCTGAATAAAACAAGAAGGCAGCAAAGAAGAAAAAAAGAGGGACTCTGTCAGAAGATAGAAGCCCTGTACTGCACTGGTTGTCCAAGCATGACATCTGAGGGCCTGAGAGGAGCAAGTATGAGACAGAAGTAGCATCACAGACACAAGTCCAGGAGAATCAGAGACCCTGGAGCCAACCAAGGTTAAGAGTACGTCAAGGAGGTCAGCTCAGGCAGGGGTCAGGAGTTGTATATCCTTTCTGCGGGAACTAATCAATGACATCCACTCGGGCCTTCCAACCATAATGCGGCGGTGTAGATCGAGCAAAGGTTGCATTCCTTTTGACTTGCCGATCGACTAAAAACCAGACCGAAGGTTCCGTTGTTAAAAACACAAACAAACAAACAAACAAACAAACAAACAAACAAAAGAGTTGAAAAAACAATCAAACTAATCAATTTGATTGCTACTGGGCATCTACAGAACCCGAGGTCTCAGAAAGAGCACAGCAGGAGAACTTCCTCACTGGAAACAAGAGAGGACGGCCACACTAGACGAAAGAAACTGCCCGAATGAGGAACACAAGCAAACGCGATAAGAGATTTGCCCAGGCAAAAACAGGAGTCAGATTCTGTCAGAACCAATTGCATACATATTTCAGAACTTAAGAAAAAAATTTGAGGGCCGTCGAGGTAACACAATGTACCATTGTGAAAGTGTAGTACTTCACAAACTGCTTTTCCTGAAACGTTTAATATGTACTAGCCATGAGTGCATACTGTGTTTGTAGACCGCAAATCAAATGTGTTCAACATAGTTCACAATAACAGAAATTTAGGGCCAAAAAGGTTAAATGGCTAACTTCCCCCAAAATACAAGTGTTTGAAAGTTGAAACTGCTTTCCTGAAAACGTTCAATTTAAACTAGAGTCTACCGACGAGGAGCACACACCGTGTTAGCATCCCGCAAATCAAATGTGTTCCGCAAGGTGCTATAGAGACAACACTCTGTAACAAACTTCTCAATGATGAAACGCCGAAAGCCAGGCACCTACAATTGGAAGAACACAACCACACAAAGACATAAACGTAAGACAAGCACACACAAGAACATGTATAATGCACGCACACAAACACACCCACACACCCACACACACAGGATGAAACCCTCATTAGTTTTTGTTGACCAGTTGCCTCTAACCTTGACCAAACGTAAGACAA